ACATTTAATGAGATTTAAAGGTTAGAAAATTCCTTCTTAATTTGTGGCTGGAACTTGGAAGAGGTTTATTTTCTGAAATAACCTTCAAAATATGGTATTTTTTATAGAATTTTTTTAACTTGCATCCTAAAATCACCTTTTTATCATAAATGTATATTGAAAATAAAAAAATTAATATTAGTTTTAGTATCATTGCTAAGTAAATGAATTTAATTGAAAAAGTAATAAATTAATGATCAATTTTTACTTTTTTTAATATAAATTTATAATAAAAAAATATATTTATCACACTTTTAACCTATGATTTTTTTCTTATTTTTTCCTTGTTTTTAGTATTTAATTTTAAGAGGATCCAAGGCACATGTCTTGCAAGGAAAGAAGAGGATAAGGGAGCCTGGAGAATAGGGTATGTGTATTTTATAAGTCACAAATGCCTTTTTATCAAACTAACCTTTTGAATCAAGTGATTCGTCCCTAAATTTTAATAATTGAGTTTAATCGGTTGAGAGAGTATATACTCCTATCAATTACTTGAAAATTATGTCATTCCTTCAAATTTTCCATGTTCAGAGATTAAAAAAAAAAAAAAAACGGAAGCCCTTTTTTCCAACAAATTAGTCATAATTAAGGGTTACGGGTATATATTTCACAAGTCATAAATGCCGTTTTTTCCAACAAATTAGTAATAATTAAGGGTTGCGGCTTTAAAATTGATTAAAAAATAATCTTAATTTATACAAAAATTATTTCAAAAACACCTTAAATATAATGTTCAAACCAAAAAGAAAAGTTCATGAATGTCTTTGACGTTGTTTAGGAAGTTGAACTGTTATGATGTGCGCACATAAAAGTTTGAATGCCAACCAACTCATTCCATCAGATCTCTCTGTATTTTTGGTTTAATAATTAAATGACATGAAGGAAGCTTCCTTCTAACTTTCTCTGGTCGGCGGTAGGTACAAATACAATCTTTTTCCAACTTACCTTCCTCCAACGCAAAACACTGTTTTTTTCTTTTCAACGAAATAACCATCATAAATTTGAAATATTGCCAGCTCCCATATTCATCAAGTCTTCCATTTAACTAGAGTTTATGCAGTAATACTCTTTCCTTTGAAGGAGATGTTAAGCGGGGAAATTCGAGCAATTAATATATTTTACTTCTTGTCGGATTAATTTTAAGTTTAATGTTTTTATTATATCAAGACAATATATAAGTTTAGTTGTTAAGTCACGTGCAGGCTTTTTTTTCCCTTTTTTTTTCATTCTTTTTCAGTGTAATAATTAAGATGTTGACAAATTGATGCATATCTTAAGATTAAGTTAAAATTCACTTTAAAATTAAAAAAATTATTAAAAAATTATCTTTTTATTCATTTCATTAAAAAATTAAATTTTAATTGATAAAATAAAAAATAAGTCCTTTTACTAGCTAAGTTAGAATTCATTGAGTAAGTTTTTTTTTTTTTTGAACATATTACAATTTTAAAAAAGAGGATTCGAATATCTCCAAGAGTTAAAGAGAATGCATCTTATAATAAAATATGTAATTATCAAGTCATAAAATTTAAATAACAATGAGTAAGATTCTTTTTTTTTTTTTTTTAGTTGAACATGGGGAAATTTGAGGGAGGGAGATTTTGTTTCAAATTGTTGGTGGGAGATATTGACTAGGCTTTTTTCTAATTGAGCATTCTAAGGTGTGTGAAAGCATATGAAAGGAGGAATATTGGTCATAAAAAACGAGTAGACTTTTCAACGGCTGGCTATGAGTTGTCGACAAAAGCCCAATTTCATAGCATTATGACTATTTTCTATCAAAATTTTTAACCAAGACTGCGTAAAATTTCTTAATAAAAACGTGGCAAAAACCCTTTTTAACCCTTAAATTTATTTCAAAATAACATTAAAATTTTTAAATTAAAAATAAAATAGATAATCTCTCTAACTTTATTAATAATATAAATAAGTTCTTCTTATTTATAAATATTTATGTTTTCAAAGCAATATTAAATATGAAATACTGTTTAACTAATTTGTAAAAAGAGTTTATTTGTATTATTACCAAAATTTGAAATTTTTTTTACTTCATTTTTAATTTAAAATTTTAAATGTTATTATGAGTAAGTTTGGGCGTTAAAAAGGATTTTTTTTCCGCCTAAAAACGTCATGCCTCCACTATTATCTGTTGCATCCACCTTGGAAATTGGGCGGTGATGACTCCTTATGCGCATTGACTCCAATCCTTGTAAACTATACCCTTTTTTTCAACTCTTACCTACATATTCATTACCTATTTTCAAAAAAAAACTCTTACCTACGTAGCTGGTCCGAAAATTAAATGGAAGACTTGGCATGATCCTTGCATAGGCTTGAACAGAGATTAATTCAAAGAAGAAACTGAGGTTGTATCTATGGAAGAATAAGAATAGGTGTCTCGGTTGGAACCAAGTTAGGTGCATGAATGACTCAATCAAGGATGTCATATAACCTTCACCAGCCATGCCCTATTTATATAACTCATTGTTTCAATATCTTCATGGAAATTACCGTCATCATCTCATCATTTTTCTAATACGTCATTATTAAATTTAATCCATTTTTTT